CGTAGATCTTTATTAGAAACTTATTTCCGTAAAAGAAAATTTTTACCTATCTCCTGCCCCCCCCCCTTCTAAAAGTTTTAGCTTCAAACCCCTAAAAATGCCATTTTTCAACTATTTATTACAGCGAAACCATAAATATTTTTCAAATTCTGTTTACGCAGAAAAATGGTTAACTTGCTTGTTCTATTTTTCGTGGTGGCTTTCTAAAACCCGTTTTTTCCAAATTTTTGATATCTTTTTTTCTAGACCTAAAGGTTTAGGAGCCTTAAAAGTTAAGCAACTTTTAGACACTAATAATTTGTTCATTTCGTTAGAAGAAAATTTTTTTCCACCTCTATCCCTCTCAAGTTTCCTTCGAAACTGTAAGCTTTTACGAATTTCTATACATACAGAAAGCTAACGGCCATTAAAAAATATAATTCTATAATAAATAATTTTTTTAACTCACGCAATTAACACTTAAATTCGAGCATTATTTAAACGCATTTTTCCTTTTTTTTGTTTATTTCAATGTATTCAACATTGCTCATTATAAAGGTATGCAATTTTAGAAATAATATTTGTTTATGAATAAAAGTAATTTTAATAATATAATACATATCTAAATTGTTCTTGTTGAAGAGAAAAGTGCTAAATTATAAACCATTGGTTTGACCCAACTTAAAATTGAAAACAAGAAATTACTTTAGCCTTAACAGCTTTCTTGTGCTGATATTTCCCAAATAGAATTTTTTCAATTTAATTTTATTTAATCATCCAAAACTACCCAGAATGTTCGAGTGATAATTCAGTACAACGATAATGAAATTCATGAACCTATGCATATATGCACACATGTACATAAATAGATCAAAATAGTGTCGTACAAATTATTTTGTTAGTAAATATTTTATTTAAACTATTAAAATTTTAAAAACAAATAAAGATCATCATTACAATTTACTACTGCTATAAAATTGCCGAAAATACTCATAAAAATCATTATAAATTGTTTACAATCATAATAAAAATTTAATAATACTTTTACAAGGTCATAAAATTCGGAATCAGAGAGACAAATTTTTTTATTATTTTTTTATTATTTCGCTCATCATCGTCATTTAAAAAATTTTTAAGATTGAAATCTTTAAACAGAAGTTGCTTACCGTCAATTAATTTTGTCAAAATAAATTGGTTATGATTATTTTTTTCTTTCCTCAATTATTGTAATGTTCAAATTGCATATTAGACAGGGTGTAAATAGTTGCAGTAATGATTCCTTGAACGATTTTCAGCGAAAAATTGTATGGGGGTCGTTGGTGCTGATATACTCGTTCTCGAGCTTTAGCCTGTGCTAAGAAAAGAACCAGAATTTGGAGTAACCTTCTTCTAGAAAAATCTTATTAATTTTTCTCGCGAAGGTTACTCTAAATTCTGTAAACAGGCAAATACATACTATGCATATGTAACTATTAGTTACGGTGCGTAACTAACAGTAATCAAAAATCATAAAAACAGTCAAAAAAATGTGACTAAACTTCGTTAGCTTTTGAATTTTTTTTTCAATACAGGTGTTAAATATTATCGAAAGGCAGGCGGATCCAAACTGTCATCAGACCTATCAATAACGGGGTACTGTAACTCAACCTTTTTATGGGAAGCTTGTATTTTTTGATGTGTTTTCGCCGAGTATAACCCCATAGCTACAATTCATTCGTCCATATAGGTTTTATCATTTGGTTATATTTCAATAGCTTATTGTATGTTGACAATCCAGACCTGCGACTTAGGAGCCAATATTTGTTTTCTATTTCTATTCTTTTCTTATTTACATGGTCTTCCTATCTTGACATCCAAAGTTATACCTAGGTATTTTGCTCTGTTTTGAATTGATACCTTAGCACTATTTAAACTCAATTGTAGTGGGTTTACTAAATTCTTGTATGTGAAATTTACATGTCAGATTCACTTTCATTTAGCCTTATTTTCCATGTATTTTTCCATTTACTTATATTTTAACTTGCTTCCTGTGATTTTTTCGTCGATTCTTCAATATTAGATCTCACTGCCAATATTGTTGTATCGTCGGCAAATGCAGCCAAAGTTACACCCGCTACATTTGCCAAGTAGCTCGTTTAAATCACGTATAATATAGGACCAGAATACTGCCTTAAGGCACACCAGTCCTAATTTCCCTAAGCGTACAGTACTCCTCGTCCTGTTTGATTTGAAAAAATCTGTCTGTATTCGAAAATAAATACGACTGAAGTAAATTCTAAATTGCAAACGTATTAATTTCCCAAGTAAATAATAAACCGTTCCAGAAATATTATCGAACAAATTTGTCTTTCTTCCAACGCCTCTTTCACAATATTTGATAATCTGCGTAGTTTATATATTGTTGCATGCTTTGTTCTAAAACTAAACTGGTGGTTTGAAATCAATTTCCTATTTTCTATAACAATAATTTTTCAAAACATTTTGATATCATTGGTAGCAAAGAAATCTGTCTATATGATTTTGCCTCATTCAAGGGTTTCCTCGGTTTTTCTATCATAATAACTTCCGCTACTCTCATAATAGCTTCCGCTAGGTTAAATGCCGCATTTATAATATTTTTTCAAAAACGTCATAGTCTTTCTCGGAAATTCGCTTAATATCTCAGCGGTAATAAAATCAAAATCTGACACCTCTGTGGTTTTCTTGACTAAAGTGGGTAGATTCCGTTTGTTAGCTATTTTCTCACTAAAAGTTAACATTACTCATTAATCTCATCTCATTAAAAGTTAAAATCATCTTCGAAGTTCAAAAAATTTGCTGAAATCCTTTTAAATATAAAAATGTCTACAAGATCCGAGAGTTTGTTAGCATCAGTAGACCAATATGTCGGATTGCCAGTAAAATGATACGACTCCCGAATGGGTTTTCTTAGTTCTCAACTTCTAGTTGAGGTCAGTCGAGAGCCCCAATACACTTGTTTGGCATTATTTCCGCCTGCGCACAGAAAACCCACAAAAATATCCTTTTTTATGCTACATCTTAATCCATTCTAAGTATCATCTATCTGTTCCGCAGTTGTATAAAGAAATCTCCATTGTATTTTAAGTATTACATTGAGATGCTACATACAATCCACTATTTGAAACACACAATCACAAGAACATATATATAAATAGGTATTGTGCCTATTACACTAATATATTGAATTATTTATACAACGTTTAGTTATTTAATTAATAAGTAATGTGTCTATTACACTAATAATATTCACTTAATGGAAATTTCTTCATACAACTATTGGCACTGTTAACTTTACTAATTTTTATTTTCATTTAGTTTTTTCCGGTAGAGATTTTTTTAATATTGAAATTAATAAACTAGTAAATTTCGATATATTGAGAAATCCACTATTTTTAAAATTTAAATTAATAATAATAATAATAATGATAATAAAAGATATCTAAAACATATTTGATAAGCATTCCCTTTATTATTAAAATATAACATATTTAAAATATATTATATAACATTCCCTTTATTATTACGTTACAAAAAAATTTGTACATTTATAAGCCTTACAAAAAGATTAAAATCAGGTTCTTTGGATTTTCTATAATTATACACATAAAGACATGTATACACATAAAGAGCTTGTTAGCAGATATGCAATATATCTATGTATACATATAACATTTAGTAATACAATTAACTTTTTATATTTTTTACAATTCTTATATTTAAAAGAGAAAATTTAAACATAAAAGTATATTAACTTATCAAAACAGCTCTTCGAAATTTCATTTACAGTTTCATTCAGTTATGCTTCAAGCAACATTAGCACCAAAAAATATCTGTTTGACATCTACCTTAAAGGTATATAACTATTTCAAGACTATTTTCGTAGCCTGAATGTCATTTGAGCGTCTTCGAACATATTGTGCATAAAAATTAGAATTGAAACTTTTTCAAAAACAAACCGAATCACCCATATCTGAGACCATTGTGAGACCATTTTCATAGACCCGTGATTTTGCATAAAACACAATCAAAGGAACACTCATAAAACACAATCAAAGGAAAAAAATTTTAAACTCTTAGAGACTTTTTAAACATAATACTCCAAAACCATATTTACCAGCGATTTTTTAAAAGTTGGTCTAAAAGGGATACTATAGCAAACCGACCTTACTCTTTTGCAATGCCGATCGCATTAAAGGCAAATATCCATGTCTTTAAGTTCTTCACTAGCTTATTTGTTCTCAAAAGAGTGCATCAAAAACCTGTCAATTTATTCTGAGGACGTATATGTATATAGGTATGCAAGGTATATGTATATAGGGTGGTTTTCTCTTTAGAAAATGTAACTAATTGTCAAGCTTTCTTACTGCACCGACTTTTGGGCTCTTATAACTATAATACTCTTTAAGCTATAATGAATAAAGCAACATATAAACAACTCTTCTCAGTTCTTCAGATTGACTACGAAATTATTATTTAACAATATATCTGCTAATATATTTATTGGGGTTTGTATTAGTTTTCAAAAATTTGTTAATAGATTAAACTAACAAACACTGACTTAGAATAATCCACAAAAACCGAAAAATTTTAGACGTGTCAAATTTCTTATATTCTCGAAAGCTGCGTGTAAAAACATAAACAACATATTTAAAACAAAAAAACAAAAATAAACACATCAAAAACATCCAAAACAAAAAAAATTTTCGTTTTTATTACCCTAATCAATAACAACAACAGAAAATTTTTGAACCAAAAATCATTTCAAAAATAGGCTCAACAAATCGAAACATTTATTTCAGTCAACAGCGAAATATTTGTTTCATTTTTTTAATGTTAATCACTAAGTTTCGATAGATATCAACTAGTTCTTTCAAAATCTTTCAAAATCGTACCCTTATAGCGCAATATAATTTTTAAACCTCACATTTGCCACAATTTTAAGTTAAATATTTAATTTTATATTACCAGCATTGTATTTAAACAATTTCTTTTTTTTTTAGAAATGGTTGGGTGTGTTTTTAGAAATTCGTTTTTATCGTTCGGTTTTTTAATATTTACTGCTCAATTGACTTACGGAAACATATACTTAAGTGGCGAATATGCTAATGACGTAAATGCATTTTTAGCTGATCAAGCACACATCAATCAAATTGACATGTTATCGAATCCATTTTTGAGCCATGCTATTAGTAGCAGAGCAGCTGGTTTTCGTGGACCGCAGTATCTACCACCGGTTGAAAAACCGCAATTGATATGTAATGGGCAAGAAGTTTGTGTTAAAAAAAATCAGTGTGCGGGAGGTTCTTTCACACAACAAAACTTGGTGTCTTCAAGACAGGTAAGCATTAGTTATATATGCAAATAATTTAAATATGTATATGTATATGGGAAATAAGTATACAGACGATTCAGAAACGCAAGGTAAATCATTGTCTGTGACATTGAATTTGCTAGCCAAACGCAAACATTACATAGTTTTACGATACAAATTGTAAACTGAAAAATTTTTACAATGTCAATTCATCCAGAATGTATCGTCAAAAATTTAAGTAAACTTTACTTAAACTTTCAAAATTTTATAGTAAAAATCAAGAAGTAAATGAAAAATTAAATCAAGAAGCTGAGCATTTTTATATGAAATTTGAAAATTTTCTTAAATTTAATTTTTTCATAAAATAGTGATCCAAAACATACAAATAAACTTGTGTTTTTTTACAATACAACTAAAAATTTTAAGATATATGTACATATGTATATGCTTCGATTAATAAAAAATCTACAAGTATTTTCATAAAAATTTTATCCAATAGCATCCTCAAAAACTCACTTCCAAAAATATCACATTCACTTACGTATGTATGTATATGCATGTATACTTCCTTTATTATATTTTTCTTTAGAAAAAAAAATGCGTGTTGGAACCAAAGTATATCTATTAATAAGTAATTCGCTTTCTGTTAACATCACACTTATGCAATCACTCACCAATATTTGTGTACAAAAAATTAGCTAAAAGAAATGAGCATACCTTCTTATTTTCGTTTTTATTCACATAAGAATTTTTGGGATAGGGAAAAAGTAGCCAATAGATATCTACCTGTTTTTTTATAATGAATTTTTAAAAGCGGAAGTTATTTATTTTTTCGTATATAAAGTATAGGAAAAAATATTAAGAATTTTAAAAGCGGGAGTTTTATAACTTCGTAACTTATTCTAGTACAAGGTGGCAGAAATTATGTACACATATTATAAAAGCGAAGCGATTTAAAAACAAAATTAATATATTATATGTATGTATGTATATAATTTGAAAAACACAAATAATATTAAAAAAAAACTTAAAATTTGTAATTAATAATTGTCATTACATTTATTGTAGTATAAACTATGAATTTTTTATTTTTATTTAAATTTTGTTTTAAAAATTCGAAACAAATATTTCTTATGTAAGTTATTAAACTATCTTGATTCGATTATAAAAAAATAATTTTATTTCACACAATGTCACAACTATTACTTAAAAATTAAATTTTACAATTACTTAAATTCGAATTGATAGTTTAATTATAATATTCTATTCTTATTAACACCAATTTTAGACTAAATCATATCTTAAAATCTAACAGTATTTATAGTAATTAAAATTAAGTTCATTTCCGGCCTCGTGCAAAATTATAGACGTTTCGTCAGCATTTTTGATGGGAACGATAATTTCGTAATTTCTTCATGTTTAAACATGTTCGATTGCAGACGCTGTGTCAGCAATTTTCATGTGAACAGAAATTAGTATCGTACTGAAGATGTAATTTGATACCACTTGAATATGTAACTAAAGACGGTGATAACTCCTCCCCCTTCAAAGATCTGCGTCCCGTAGATCAAGCTGGAATTTTGGTGCTTCTATGACTGAAATTTGCGGAATCTCTATAGTAGGAACCACTGTTGGAGTGCGTTTTCTCACAACCTTGCTGATGTTTTTCTTGATGACCCAAATGATGATGACTGCAATGATGACGAGTCCTATAGTAATATCGGATGCTATAGAGAGTTGGCTCCTTGGTATTAGCTTCTGAAGTTGTTTTGTGTTGCTGATATGAAGATCGTGAATGTAGTCGAGGCTTAGCTTGATATCTCCTTCTTTTAAATTTTCTTGAAGAACAGGTGGTAAAACTTGCGACGTGGTGGCAGATTCGCTTGTAAATTTCTGACCTTTTATGTGAACGGTTTCGTTGGTATGCTGTATCATAAAGCTTCCAGTTAAGTGTTTGCTCGTGTTGCCACTTGTTAGCTCCCCATTGAAATTATTGAGAAAGATGATATTTTCACTTATGGTTTCTATGATTTCTTCCTTATTGTATTGAAGGCTGCAACTGGCGTTTATTCCCTTTAGCAGTTGATACATACAGTGTCCTTCGTCCAGTTTTCGAATTTTACTTCTTTCGCATATGGTGATGTTTCTTAAATTCTCGCATTTTGTCGATATGCCATATACGTCATCTTTCACGAGAAGTTCCTGATATTCGAGGTAGACTTGTTGGGAGTTTCGGATTGTTGATCTCGCTATAATGTGGTCATAGTACTGGTTGCCTGTCTTCGGTATTGATAATATGTAGAGAATTTCTCGTCCATTGGTTACTACCTGTGGTTTTGCGTATTCTATTGCCTCAATTTCGTTGACGTAGGGTAGTGTATCGATCTCCTTCAGTATTTTTTGGATTTCAATCCTGCTAAGAAGATTTGTGTTGACAATTCCATTTTTTGCTAATTCTGTCGCTAACACGATTTCTCCCAAGGCTTCTTTTATGATTCCAAGTTTGTTAAATATTATTTGTTCGGATCGATGATCTAAGTTCCCTACATGTTCCAAAATGTGGTTAAATCTTTGTACTACTTGGTTTGTTATCCTCATAACTTCACGATTTATTTTGTACTGTTGATTATTATTTTGTATCAGCTTGTCTTGGCTTGTAACGATGTTGTCCCAGTCTGTGGCGTCTGGTGTTCCTGCCAGCCATTTCCATGCTGTACCAATCCAATTTATTGACCGTTGAACTCTTGATTTGCTGCTTCTCAATTTAGTCAGAAATTCCATTATTTGAGCCAGTTGGTGTTCTAACTGTGGTTTCATTATGCTGGTCGAGTTGATTCCATCAACCAAAGGAATGATTTGTTGTATAACCTCGTCATAGCTCTTTAAATCAATGATGTGCACCAAATTGAAATTTCCTTCCAAGATTTGACCCTGTCCTTGTTTAATGGTTGCTATTGCGCCTTTGAATTCGAAGATTTTCGGAAATGCTGTAATTCTAGTGACTGCTAGTCTAAAAAGAAACCTTGTGATAACACCGCTCCAATAGCTGTGTCGGAAGCATCGGTTGTTAGGATGAACGGCTTCTCGAAATTTGGAAATATTAGGACTTCTGAAGATATAAGTAATTCTTTCAGCCTGTTAAATGCCTTTAACTCTTCTGCATTCAATTTGATTCCAACTTTCTTAGATTGATTGGCCTTTATTTGTGCGTTTTCGCCTCTTGTTAAGCTCGTTAGTGGTTTCGCCACTTTTGCAAAATCTTGAATAAATCTGCGATAATATGATGTGAGTCCCAAGAATGATTTTAGGTCCTTCAAATTTGTCGGTGGCATGATGTTCTGAATGGCCGCCACTTTTCTGGGATCGGGTTTGATTCCTTCGCTTGTGACTATATATCCAAGAAATTCTGTCTCGGTGTTGAAGAATTTTGTTTTTTCCAGGTTGACCTTCAGGTTAGCTTTTTCCAATATGCTAAAAATCGTTTCAATGTTCCTTAAATGTTCCTCCTCCGTTTTTCCATATATGATAACGTCGTCGATGTATACGTAGCAGCTTTTGCCTATCTGATCCTTTAGAACATCATCTATCATGCGTTGGAATATTGAAGGCGCATTCCTCAGCCCGAATGGTAGTCTTAGGAATTCGTACTTTCCATTCATTGTTGAAAAAGCCGTCTTGGGAATGTCCTTTTTGTGCATCATGATTTGGTGGAATCCGGATGTCAGATCTAATGTTGTAAAGAATTTGGCCTGGCCTAGGCTTGCTAGTGTGCTTGTAATATCCGGTATAGGATATGTGTCTGGTACCGTTACTGCGTTAAGTCGTTTAAAGTCGATAACCATTCTATACTTCTTCACACCTGATGAGTCGGGTTTCTTGGCTACTACCCAGATCGGTGAGTTGTAAGGGCTTTTCGAAGGGCGGATAATTCCATCCTCTAGCAGCTTTTTGATTTGTTCCTCTACTTCCTTCCTCATATTGGCTGGGTATGGATATGACTTGGTGTATATGGGATCATCAGTAGTAGTTTTAATTTCTGCTTTCACTTGTGTGTCTATTATTTCCCTGTCGTTTATTGGGCCAAATATTTTCTCGTATTTCCTTATTATTCCCATAATTTTTTCTTGGATTGCCTTCGGTAAATGGTCTGCCCCGATTTCGATGGTGTTGACTTGAGCTGATGCCTTTGCCTTTAACGGAATTTTTATATCTGGCTTGATCCTTAAGGTGTTGTTCTTTCTGTCTATAATGGCTTCGAGCTTCTTAAGCGTGTCGTCTCCAATTATACCATCAAAGGTCTTCAATCCTGGCAAAACAAAAAATTCAATGAAGGTGTTGTTTCCCAGACTCTGAAAAAATCTTCCTCCGATCTTCTTGGTGATTGTTATATCTCCTCCAGCTGAACGTATCTTGAATGGTTTTGTTGTTGGTTTGGCATTTGTCGCGATCTCTTCTCTTACAAAATTTTAATTAGCTCCTGTGTCGACTAGAAATTTTAGGAGCTGGTTGTTTTTTGTCTTGAATTCTAAGTAAGGAACGCTTGAAAGGCGTCCGTCATAAAATTTACTTCTTGAACCTCATCATCTGCATATGCTGGTTCTTCGTCATATTCGCTGCATTCTTCTGGGTGGTCATCTACGTCGTCTTCAAGTGTTTCCATATTGAATAGCCTTTGGTGCTTATTGCTAGGCATGTTGCCTACTGATGGTGGCCTCTTGTATATTCCCCTGTAGTTGTCTGGCCGGTTCATATAATTAACCTGACGTGTTTGTATGGATCGGTCAACGTCCATCTTCTCTAACGGTTTTGGCGGTCTAGGTGGAGGTTGCGATTCTCTCTGATGTTGAATGTTGTAAGCCAAGTTCCGTTGTTCCACTGTTAATGGCTGTTCTGGTTGATACGACCTTGGGTTCCCAGCACTTGGTTGTTGTCGTTTCATGGACATTTTGTTGAATGGTACAGTGATTCTGTTGTTATCATTCCTGTTGTGTATAGCGAAGTTTCGGCAACTATAGTTCTGGAGCTCT